ATATGAACATAAGCCACGCAACCAAATACCCGCAAGTGTGAGAGATTTATCTTCTTTCCACTCCAAACCTCCTCTGGAATCCCAAAATCTAATGGAACTGATGGCCCGTGATTAATAAGGTATGCTGCCGTATGCACCGCATCCGCCCAAAATGTCTTAGGCAGACCTGCATGTAATCGCATGCTCCGCGCACGCTCTGTCAAGGTCCTGTTCATCCTCTCTGCAATGCCGTTCTGCTGCGGCGTCCCTGGAGTAGTCCTCTCTAAGCGAATCCCATTCGTAGCACAGAACCTCTTGAACTCCTCCAGCTCGTATTCTCCACCATTATCTGATCTCAAGCACTTCACCTTCAGATCTGTCTCGTTCTCGACCATGGCCTTCCACTTCTTGAAGATCTCGAACACCTCTGACTTGTGCTTCATGAAGTAAACCCACACCTTCCTCGAGTGATCGTCGATGAAGGTGACGTAGTATCTCGAACCGCCAAAAGAAGACACACTGGCTGGGCCCCATACATCTGTATGAATCAACTCTAGCTTCTGAGCCTTAGGTGGCCTTCCACCCTTCTGGAAACTAACCCTCTTCTGCTTCCCAAAGATGCAGTCTTCACAAACCCCGACTTCCACGGTGTCGATCCCGGTTAGCTTTCCTTGTGAATGTAGAATTTTCATCCCTTTCTCGCTCATGTGCCCCAGCCTATTGTGCCACAGATCTGTACTCTCCTTGCCAGCTACAATTGCGAGGGTGTCACTCGCATGTGAAGTGAGGTAGAGAGTTCCCGTTTTGTTGTCTCGGGCAACAACCATCGTACCGTTGGAGATCCTCCACGAATCCCCGGTGAATGTCGAAACGTAGCCTTCTGCTCCAAGCTGTCCCACCGAAACAAGATTCCTCTTCAGCTTCGGCACGTGTCTCACGTTCTTCAAGTTCCACTTGGAGCCCTTCATCTGTATCTGAACATCGCCCTTTCCAATAATATTGCAAGGTTCATTATCCCCCAAGTATACTTTACTAAAGTCCCCTGCTACATAGTTCTGAAGTAGTCTCCTATTAGCAGTGGCGTGGAAAGAGGCTCCTGAGTCGATGACCCAAGAATCAGAATCGCTATCCATAGCAAGGATCAAGGCATCCTGCACGATATGAGCCTCCTGCTCACCCGCATCCTTCTTTGGTGCTTTACAGACCGAAGACATATGACCCTCCTGGCCGCAGTTCCAACACTTCCCTTTGATAGACCTAACCTTCGAGTTCGGCCTCTTCTTCACTGATTTCGACCGATTCCTGTTCTGGTTCCCTTTCTTCTGGCTTCTGCCTCTCTGCTCGAAACTTAGGGCTGAACCTGAACCTTCTGATTCGGACGATTTCCTTCTAACCTCCTCGGATAGAATCATGCTAACAACCTCATTCAGCTTCAACTTCTCTTTCCCCGCCAAATTGTTGATTGCTGTCACACAACCTGCCCAACTATCCGGCAACTGCGATAGAATCAATAGGGCTTGCACTTCGTCATCAAACGTGATGTCCACGGAGATAAGTTCCTATCCAGTACCTCCCAATCACCATCTGACTCCGTCGTCTTCTTTCCCTTTTCCTTGCCCAGAAGCGGGCGATACAAGTCCTTCTGGTACAGATAGTCCTCCATCTGCGACTTCCAGTAGGCGAAATCCGATCCGTCGAACTTCTCAATCTTTGATTTGCTTTCCTCTGCCATGGCTTTCACACAAATTGCTGAACGAAGCTCTGATACCAGTTGTTGGGGATTCGAAACAATCAATCGAACCCTTGCCCTTCCGGACCTTGTGTTGAAAGTAGGAAAGTAGGAATAAACCACAAATAAAGATCTAACCTTGTAAAAAACAGTAAAAGAGACGAACACACAGATTTAACGAGGTTCGGCAACGTGCCTACGTCCTCGGGAGCCACACCACACAATCTTTCTATTAATTGAAGAAGAAAATACAAGCTCTCAAACAAGGGGTAAATCTCTCTGAGATTCTCTCTCTCTTAGCAGCCAAAAAGCTCTCTTTTTGATGTCCTTACAAACCCTAGAAACGTTTGGGTATTTATAACAAACCCCAGCAGAACAGGATTCCTAGATAAAATAGGAAACAGCGAATCTGCGTCGCGGTCGACCGCTTTGCCAAGGTCGGTCGACCGGTCAGAACGACGAAATCCTACAGGGTCTTGTGCACGATATCGGTCGACCGCAGTGACCACGCCGGTCGACCGGCCAGAGCGAAAACTTCTTCTCAGTCTCCTGCAGTGCACGCGGTCGACCGGCTCTGCCACTGCGGTCGACCGCACAGTCTTCTGACTGTTTTCTTCGTCTTTTTGATTGCAGCTTTGGGTCTACACACTTAGACTAACAATTCTCTGTCTAAATCTAGACATCGAACCCGAGCACATTCTTCAAGCCCTTGCACCTAGGGTTTCTACACTTGCAAGAGCAAAATCAAGAGATTCTGAAGAGGATGAAGGAGGAAGGAGAGAGGATTGGTGGGTTGGGTTAGAATTAGGGCTTGGAACAGGACTTAGAGGAGGTGGGAGAGAGAGGAGAGGATGAGAAAGGAGCATGAGAAGAGGATGAGGGAATGAGGATCAGGAGGTCAAGCGGTGGTGGCGGGGGAGGAGTGATTGCAGCAGGAGAAGAAGGAGATGAGATTGCTAGGGTTGAGGTTTTGGTGCTTGGATTTTGAGATGAGGACAGAAAAAGGGAGAGGAGGAAGGAGATGAGTTTGGTTTTTGGGTAATTATAGTTTTTGGGGAGGGGTAAAGTTGGGTTTTTGGGTTAAATACACATAGTATTAGGTTGTAGATGAGCTCGAAAGGCTAGGCCATATTTTTCCCAGTAATTGAGGGCTTAAGCATATAGATAAAAGTAGGAGGGGCTTGGTCACATGAGTTTATCAAATTTGGGGCCTTGACATAATTGATTAATAAAGGAATTTGGTAATATAATTTCAAATAAATTGTTGTTATTTCTGACAGCATTACATCTTGACAGTAAAGACTAAAGAGGAAGAAAACAGTAGCATTAATAAAATATATAATAAAGTTAAAACGCTTAATCTCTGTCTCCCCTCATATTTACCTATTTTTCATTTTCTCTCTAAATCTGTAAATATATGGTACTATCCATATAATAAACCAAAAAGTGGAAAATGTTAAAAAAAAAAAAAAAAAAAACCTCCCGCTTTACTTAATAATGATGCATATGGCATGTAGAGTTCTAAAAGAATAAAAATCTCCCGCTTTACTTAACAACAAGCAGCTCTATGCTTATATTAATTGACTAACAAGAATATAAATTTTGACAGCTTCTACTTTGGAATAAAAAACCATAGCCTAAATGCCGACATGACATTATGGTATTCCAAACGCAGTCTATATTAAAAAAAAAAAAAAAAAAAACCTCCCGCTTTACTTAATAATGATGCATATGGCATGTAGAGTTCTAAAAGAATAAAAATCTCCCGCTTTACTTAACAACAAGCAGCTCTATGCTTATATTAATTGACTAACAAGAATATAAATTTTGACAGCTTCTACTTTGGAATAAAAAACCATAGCCTAAATGCCGACATGACATTATGGTATTCCAAACGCAGTCTATACGAATATATATTTTTCTAAATATGGAAATATCTTTCCTTGAGAACGTCACATGTATAATCATCGTATTATATATAGTTCTCTTTGATTGTGCTCAATAAATAATTATGAGCAAAGTCCTAATACTTTGGAGTTTTTAAGAAGGAGAATAAAACATCAGGCTTGCTTTATAGACGGTTCATCTCAACAATGTCCGTCCTTTATATGTGAAAAAAGGGAAAACATATCGAGAGGAATCTACCATGTCACTACTTAAAGGACATGACTTCATATCAAAATATTATATCAAGAATAGTTTCATAATAAGTTATACATTGAGGTGTGATTAAATAAAAGTAAAGGTTCGAGGGCTCTAGAGCGTACACCTAATTTTTTGAACTGAAAAACAGGGTGAGATACCCTGTTCATATATATAGATATTTATAAACCAAGGGGTTAACATGGGGAAAGAGGGGAAAGACTCAAAAGGGACATGACAAGATTCTAAGTAGAGAGGAGGAGGGTAAGGAGCGGACCGTGTCGTCACCTACCCAAAACTACTCTATACTTAAAAACCATCGACCAAAGCCCCAAAAAACAAAAAACATAAACTCACCACATCACATCAGAGTTTAACACAGAAACTGTTGAAGCTGAAAAAAAAACCAGACAACCAAAAACATACATAAACGAGTCTGCAACTATGGAACTGAGAGTCAACTGCAGCTGCATCCAAAAGGGTGAGGGGAGAACGAGACTGCATCAGGAAACACCAGCAGGGGGAGAGTCAACTGTCATTAGAAAAATTGTCCCCGAAGTCTCCTTCGCTGTTGGAATTCACGAGCGTACACCTAATTTGATTGTTGATATCTATTGTTCTCCAAAAAAGAAATAAGGAGAAAAGTTTATGCTTGTACGTAGAGAACCCTCACTCTAATTTCAAAGCTTACTTACTTAGAGAAATGAAAACCACTCGCATTCAAATCTCATACGGCACGCATTTAAAATAAAGTTATAAAATGTATAATGTTTTAGCATGTTACAACATAAAGTTATAAATAAGAGCTTTGCTACAGGGACCCAAAATATGGGACCAATAAAAGGGACAAGTGAGGCGTCCCCCTCTTATTGGATAATGAGTTAGCCATCATTGACCAATAAAAGGGACAAGTGAGGTGTCCCCCTCCTATTGAATAATGAGTTGGCCATCATTAATAATGGCCAACTCATTAACCAATAGGAGGGGGACACCTCACTTGTCCCCCCCTATTGGTCCCATATTTTGGGTCCTTAAAATTTTTTTCTATAAATAATACTAGACCGTCACTGCAATTACTTCAGAGCATTGGTGCAGGGGAAGAGACTAATTTATTTAGTTTATAATATTGCTAATACAAGAAAATCTTGTGGAAACTAATTTATTAAATGGTGATACTCTCACATGAAGTGCTGCAAATATATGCTTTATATTAATTTTCAAACAACCTTTTTATGCAAGTGATTGAATATTGCATCATTATTTCATATATATAGCCAACATCAGTGACATGCATACTTCCACATGGTTCCATGATGCAGCATGTAGCACCAACGTCATCACAGATTCACAATCATGATCGATCAAACACGAGAACCCTGAACATTTGCGTTGCAATGATCACCATCTTCACTCTCAAAGGTGTCACCAACCCCCACTCTCCCTTGTCCCTTGACCTTCTTGTAAGAATACCTAGTTGCAACGTAAGCGTAGACACCAAGATTAAGCCCACTTATGCCTGCCAAGAGCCAATAGAAGCAATCAATCCTACTCTTGTTCAAATCCTTAGCAAACCATCCATCTCCGCCTCCTCGCTCTGTGATGTTGTCGACGGCCGATATCAGAAAACTACTGAGGAAATTTGAGGCCCCCATAACACCCAAATAGAAAGCAATGCCTAAGCTCCTCATGCTATCTGGCAGTTGGTCGTAGAAATACTCCTGTAATCCTACTACCGTGAATCCATCAGCGATGCCTAGTATCGTAAACTGAGGCACGAGCCAAAACACACTCATAGAGTGCACGTTAAGCCTCTTTTTCTCAATTAACGCGGACACCACCATTGACAACACTGAAAACATCATACCAATCCCCATCCTCTGAAGAATGGTAATCCCCCTTTCATTCCTCGTGATTTTTCGCAGAAGCGGTACTAACATCTTGTCGTAGAAGGACACTGAGATTATCATGCTGATGGCTGCGAAGGAGTAGAGAGCTGCTGGAGGTATCTCTAAGTTTGCTGTTATTTTCCTGTTCATTATGCTGCCTTGCTTTATGAAGAAGGTTGAGGCTTGGGCGACGCATATGCCAAAGGGCAAGGAGGCGACCCATATGGGGATGACCGATAGCAATAGTTTCAATTCTTCGACTTGAGTCACAGTGGCTAACCGCCATTTGTCTGCTACGACATCCACATTAGTTTTTTGCTCGATAATGGCGGCTCTATCGAGAAACCTGTCATGAAGAGTTTTCATAGAGGTCAATATATGTTAGGTTTCATGAATTATACATTTCGTTTGTATATCTCACCTGAATTGATCAGTATGGCATAATAATCTTTTGTTAGTTTTTTGCTCGTATAATTCTGAAGGATCTGAGGGATATGGGAGGTGCCTCTTGGCGAAGGATGCTACAAGAACTTGTATCATCGGTGTTAGAGGACTACCTTCGGGGATTCTATACCGATAAAATGGCTTGCCAATGAGAAATATCACGAGGCTAATCCCCATAACCACACTAAGTACTATATCTGCAGTTCCCCAGCTCACGTTATCTTGAACAAACACAATAACTGTGACACCGAGGAGTACTCCAGCGCATATTCCGCAATTCCACCAGTTAAAATATGACATCTTCTTCCTTCTCTCGTCAGCGTGGTTGTCATCGAACTGATCAGCCCCGAAGCTCTCAAGAGATGGCTTATGGCCTCCAGTACCGACAGAGATCAAGTATATGGCAACAAAGAAGACTATCTCATGTACTCTTAAAGACCTACTTGGTTTCAGATTTGGTACTAATTGAGACAGCGTTAACAGAACAAGACCCTGCAGTGACAAATTCCAATGAATACCATTTTCCCTCCAAGAAAGCAATTTAAACTGAAATTTACGCTAAAAAATTACCAGTAGATAGATGAGAGTAGACATAAGAACGGTAGAGAACCTCCCAAGATACGCATCTGCAACAAATCCTCCAAATAATGGCATGATGGTCGTGACACCGATCCAATAGTTCACATTCTTGGCTGCAGTCTTGACATCTTGATGCAAAACCTTGGTCAGGTATATAATCAGGTTTGTCGCCAGACCAAAGTAGCTCAGTCTCTCGCTGAACTCGATCGCTACATTTTACAGGTTGAAAAGTTGATCAGAATCAAAGTTCCCTTGAACATGAATGCGAAAACTCAAAGTTATGATTGTATATTTTACCTATAATGAAGAGGGATGCTCTCCAAACTCCTGTCGAGGCTCTAAGAGGAGTTCTTCCTTTGTGATCAACAGAAGAATCAGATACCCATTTCTCCTCATCAGCTTCTAACTCTTTCCTCATGTCCATTTTTTTTTTTAATCACAAGATGTGGCTTGAGAGTAGCAATGAGTCTCTGGCTCTTATATAGCGTTCAACTAAGTGACATACTCTCTTATTGGTCATAAATTATTCCGCTAGCTATCATGTCAAAGGCTAGTAAGTCAAGCGTTTGAGTAAAAAAAAGGTCAAAATTAAAAGGTCTAAAAGGTGTAGCCCGTATCTTGAGATATCAGATTAGCCCCACTCACACATTCTCTTTCAGAAAACTAGCACATCCTCTTTCAGAAAACTAGCATGCATCGTGAATGGTTTGTACCTACCGCTTTGTTGCTTGATCGTCGACTACCGTAATGGATATACTCCGCCTTCACCATCAAAAAAAGAGAAAAATGTGACTGCTCTTGGTCTGAGAAAACTATAGAGTGGAAACTGACGATTCTGCTAATTATGGTATTTTACTTTCTCAGCATGTATGCCTTCCCTAAATTAATAGCTGACATACAATTAGGACAGGATTCAACCTATTTGTGGATGATCATAATTTTCTTCAAGATCAGAGAAGCCAAAGAGGGGTAGAACCCCGAACTGAGATAAATAGTCTACGATAAGTCAATTAAAGGAGGGTCCATGATTTTAGTTTGATGATGGTCAAAAATTGAAGGCCTAAAAACTATAGCCCAATATCAGATCAACAATGGGGGTTAGCTCCATTCAAACATTCCACTTAAAAAGATTTGTATCCGTCGTCGAACAAACATAGATACCCAGATAAATCACAAAATAAGGATCGAGTCCTACTTCCTCGGACAGTGTATAAATTGTTCTCACACAACTGATTTCCAAATTCTCCTCACACCGAACAATGTATAAATTGTCAGTAACAGATTAAAATCGCAGAATAAAATTTTCCCCCCTTAAACATACGTTTTAAAATATCCCCTCAACAAGTTCGGATACATAGTAGATAAAAAAAAAAAAAAAACTTTGGATGCCCTCTAACATCTGGAAACAAGAAACATGCTATACACAAGAACAGACGGCCGGATAGGATTCAAGACGTGCCATCAGGAGAGTGGCTGTAGTTATCGTCGGTTGCTTGCTCATCTCAATACTCCACGTTTGTTATCAGAATGAGGACAAAAAAAAAAAGCGATCGTTCTTACTTGGAAGAAGAAAACTGTGGACTACTTTCTTAACCTGAAGAAATTGTATATGCCTGCCGACAGTAACCAATTCGCTTTTAGTTCATTGTATCTCTTGACTTGATATCGGAGGGGAAATGCGGTCAGGATGAGCATCAAAAGCCACTAAGATGCGCATCAAGCCCATGAGGATATGAGTTTACCGAGTGTTTTATTGCATGTTGTCGACATAAACGCAGGGTTAGTTACTACATCACGCGAGATCGCGCTGAGAACGAAATAAACGTGCTCCAAGCCGAGGGGATGCTGTTAGTGATGATGATAACGATGAAAGGTGTCAAATTGGGAATGCAAGTTGCTGTTGGTGGGCTGATCACCTTGACTCTCTTTTTTTTTTTTAAAGGTTTTGGTGTTAACAGTGGAGCATTTACGAGCCGATGAAGATTATCCACTTGATTGTCACTATAATGACTCTCTCCCTCTCTCTGATCCACTTGAATGGGAGATCCTGGACTATTGGAAGCAAGCTGTTATAACTTGCACATTTTGACTTGTGAGCGGTACCGTTTGAGAATTGCTCTCATGGTTGATATCTCACATTTTCTACATCATGTTCATCATCAAACGCACATTTCAGGTGGATCTTTAGAAGGAAAATAATAATAATAATAATAATAATGCGCGACAAGTTTTGATGTTTATCGCTTTTTTTTGGATGTTGAGGAAAGGAGTTGGCTGTATAGTAATCTGTCTTTGACTTTGCCCACGATCTTCTGTTTTGTTGAACCCAAAAAAAAAAAAAAAAAGTTTTTAACATTTAGAAATCATCATCATGATCGATTTCTCATACTTTTGTGTGTCATTTCATGCCCCCGAGTGAAACAAGTTTTTCGTCGGCAGGCAATTACCTTCACACCAATTCGAGGAATTGTTGTAATTAATTTGCACATTATCAAACGTTTTAACTGCTCTTAATTACCCAGTGGTGAATTATGTGGGTAACAGCTCGATGGTGGTTTGATTTGTTAGTGGGCAAATCTTTTTCCTGCTTTAAATTGGGTTCAACCTATTGGATGGAGCTTTTGTGGGGGTTCCATTACCCCAGCTGGCTCCATCAATTCTTCTCTTAATTTGGGATAATAATGCGATGTTTCCAAGTGAATGAAACTAATCAGTGTGATGGAAATATCAGAAAGCCCCCTTAAGTATAGGGATCAAAAAAAAAAAACCATTTAACTTTAAGCCTTTCATCAGAAAACCCCCTTTAGTAAAATCTTAAAAGTTAAAAGAAGGTTCGCCAATAACCCCCAAACTTAATGAGGATTTTCTGATATTTTTAAAGTTGAGGGGGTCGTCTGATAATCGTCAAAAGCTAAGGGGGTGTTTTGTGATATTTAGCCTCTAAACTATCTATTCTCTCTCATGCAAGAAATTCTGACCTCACCAATAATTTTACCGATACTTAGGGGGTGTTTGGTTTAATTTCTACAAATTATAGGAAATGTTTTTCACCAAAAATATGATTTCCTCGTATTTCTTAAAAAAATTATAGGAAAAGTTTTGAGAAGTCAAAAAGTATTATTTTTTTTTACTTTGCTTGTTTGGTTCAAAACAAGAAAATGACTCATAACTTTGTAGAAAATAGCAAGATTTCCTATAATTTGGAGAAATTAAAGCAAACACCCCCTAAATTTATAAAAAAGTATCAATCTTATAGAAAAATGTCAATATGGTCTTAGATTTCTAGGTGATTTCCGTCCATTTTGAGAGGAAATTGATTTCTGTAAATTTTGGTACTTTTTTGTACTTTACAGAAAATATTTCTGTAATTTTTTTTTGAACCAAATACAGTTTACAGAAATCTACAGAAAATTTTTAATTACATAATTGTCATTGTCAGACATTTTGAGAAAACTTTTCTATAAAATTGTGCAACCAAACACCGAGGAAAGATTGTAAGAAAGCAAAACCTACAAAAGGAAAAGATTTTATCTATGCCATCCCTTTCTTTGTTTTTCTTTAATAGGATACCAACGATCATTACGTGACGTTTTATTTTTTTACATTTTCTAATCCAATCAGCCAAGTTGAGATATTTACTCCTTTTGAAGTAGGACATTAGGCATAACCTACGAACACACTAGGAAGTCAACTCTTCAGCCTAACCTAGTAGAATAATAACTACTTGCTTCCTTCACCACTCAAAAAGAAAAAACTTTTCTTTTTTCTTCTCCTCAGCAAATTAAGAACATTGATGGCAGCACAAACTGCATTATGCAAGTTAAAATCATGATATTCTAGAATAGACAAGCAACAAGGGAAGAAGAACATACACTAGAATACATACATACATACATATACATATATATTTCTTGGCTGACTTAAGTTCTGAACTTTTAACAATTTCCTGTAGTCTTTCAAATGCTTGTGCTCTCTAAGCTTTTGGAGGAAAAAGTCCTACAGTTTTGACGGAATTATTCTCTTGTTTAACATCTATGCACAGTTGAGGTCATTTGACTTTTTTGTTTATTGGTTTTTTTTTTTTACAAATACCCAGATAAATATTCACTTGCAGTGTGCATACAGTTTATATCTCGAACATGCATGTAACATGCTCAACGTGAATCTAAGATAATTCGTAGTAGATATTTAAGAAAATCACAGACATAGATGATACATTTGATTAGGATTCTTCACTAAACTTCGAATCTATATGTAGTTCTCAAACTTGAAAGCAATCACTGTAAAGCACGGGAGGGTATTATTATACTAACACTATTGTTAACCATAACAACAAGTTTTTACCTCCTCAGAGGAAAAACTTGAGGAGGTAAAAACTTTAAGCATCCAAGATCACTACTCGTAATCTGATGAAAACAGATCCAAACCTATCACATTCTAGTAGATGATGCACCCAAAACAATATTGGATGTTTTCATTTCATAAAGCTTGATTCAAAATTTATTGAAATGTTTTCTTGAATGGGGTATGCAGTGAAAATTATTATTGCAACTTTAACAACAACTTATACAAAACAAGGAACCACAATTCTACTTGCTCTGTGTTTACTCTAAAATGTTTTTTTGGGTCTCATGACAAACCAATCTGCACTAAACAAGTAGTCCATGGTTTAAGCGAAAATTCCTTCCTGGTGGTGATAGCCTACCTTCCACAACATAAAAAAAAACAACAACAAAAGATAATCTACACAATTTTTCAGGTCCAAAGTAAACAACCTTAAGTAGAACAGCAACCTCTCCTTTGCCCAGCAGAGTCAGTTACATTAATGGTTGTCCCTTGAATCGGAGGAGCGTTGCTTGCAGCCTCTTGAGCAGCAAGTGCCTTCTTGCTTATTATGTGATAAATCTCAGTAAGAATAGTGTGAAATGCATTCTCAATGTTGAGAGCTTCAAGGGCCGAGGTCTCTAAAAAGGAGAGCCCCTCCTTTTCAGCAAGAACCTGGGCATCATCTGGAGATACTGCTCGTAGATGATTTAAGTCAGATTTGTTACCGGCCATCATGATGACGATGTTAGAGTCTGCATGGTCCCTGAGTTCACGAAGCCACCTCAGGACATTTTCAAAGGTCTGCCTCTTTGTGATGTCGTAGACTAAGAGTGCTCCTACTGCACCTCTGTAGTAAGCACTTGTGATGGCACGATACCTCTCTTGACCGGCAGTGTCCCATATCTGAGCTTTGATTGTCTTACCTTCTATCTGTTCGCAAAAACAATAGTTACAGCAGTAGTCAAACAACATAATGTGAGGAGCTATAAAAACTTCTCTATAGGCCCATAGAACTCATAGTAGCCTCAAGTTACATAACAATAATGTAATAATTATATCAGACAAAAAGCACCCAATACAAATTTCATGAAATTTACCATTTTCCAATCACATCACATTCATACAAAACCATAACATAAGTCTACTATGTCTAGGGAAACTGCGGGCATAAAATTCTCACAAGATTTTGGTTATTACTGCCATTTAGCTTCAAGATCTTGCGCCCAGACTGCATAAATGAGTTACATGCACTTTAACTCTCACTCTCAGTAGCATTTTTCTTTTGTTAATACCTTGAAAGTTACATGTTGAACTTAGTGAATGGAAGTTGTTTCAGTTGCAATAGTTTAGCAGAGAATCCCAATATTAAATGTCTAAAAAAATCAAGTTTCACATATATACATATATACAATTCTTTCCATAATGTCAAAACTACTATAAGATGCATTTGCTACTGTCAGTAGAAATGCAATTATCATGTTTCCTTTTTTCCAAAATTGACAATATCCATCTTACTCATGGTTTTGCATATGAGTAAGAAGGTATATTTGGATGTTCAAGTCTATGACTCCATTTCCACATTTTAAGAAGTAGCACCACATTCATAAAGGAAATTGATATATCAAATTATGACAATTTATATGTTGACCACAGCACAGATGTCAACAAATTATCAAATTACCTGTTACCTAGATGATACAAGTTCATGGCATGTTTTAATGATAATTTCCTATATACTAGCATTGCACAATCCAGCATGCTAGCATTTTGTAAAATGTAAAACAAAGATGAAAGCATTTAAGGAAAATGGAATGAGGTTAAGCTGGCACACGCTATCCCGAGCTTGAAACTATAAGGCCTTAGACATTAACAGGTCAATGACATCTGCAATGCTTTTTTATGGGTGTCCATTTTATCAGGTCATACGACCACTACATCCTGACTTCCACGCCACCACTTGCACTAGTATCCAAGCAAGATTAATTTAGGGATAGCATCCAAAAAAAAAAAAAAAAAAAAAACAAAACCAAGTTCGACAAGTAATATGAAAATAGTTTTAACAATAAAAAATATAAAGCAGAGAGTTAAATCAGAAGACTAAGTGAAATAAGGAGAAAAAAGTTTCACACATATTGCAACAGAAACAGGTATTGCCGACATAAAGAAAAGTTATAGAAACAACATTAAAATGAAGGAGAATAAGTTACATTGCATAGTTATTGCCAATTTAAACATACATCATGAGAATGTGAAGTGTATCTAACTTACATGAGACAGTTATAGCATTTGTTCAGACAACCAAAAAAAAAAAAAAAAAAAAAACCAAGTTCGACAAGTAATATGAAAATAGTTTTAACAATAAAAAATATAAAGCAGAGAGTTAAATCAGAAGACTAAGTGAAATAAGGAGAAAAAAGTTTCACACATATTGCAACAGAAACAGGTATTGCCGACATAAAGAAAAGTTATAGAAACAACATTAAAATGAAGGAGAATAAGTTACATTGCATAGTTATTGCCAATTTAAACATACATCATGAGAATGTGAAGTGTATCTAACTTACATGAGACAGTTATAGCATTTGTTCAGGAATTGGAGGGAAATCAATCCCATTTCAGACACAACACTTCATACTCATTTAAAGGTTCAGTAACAATAATCTTAAAAGGCACATAGGCACAAACAAAACATTCTTCCATTAGAGTGAAACTTACAATAGTAAAGTTTTGCTTTATCAAACTATGCAAATTAACACAAAGCTTCAATAGTGTAATTACTAGTATCTCAAGCTTCTCATGCCATTTTCTATACATATATTATGCAACATTGCAACTGTTGTAAAATGATAGAAGATAAGTTTTCTTTTCCTTTTAGCGAGACTGTACAAAAATATTGAAGCATCTGGAAGGATTTAAGACACAAATGACTAAAACAGCTGTAACACATTGTGCAAATGTAATAAATTTGATACTTTGCGCCTTTTATCTAAAGGAAGGTGTCTCTTCTTTTTTGCCTCACATGTCTCTGACTGAATACTAAATCGCCCGATTAATGCAAAGAATTGTTTTTCTAAAAGAATAGCTCCATCATGGGCATATCTAGCAATGTATACATGATTTCACTTGCTAAATTCAAGCCCAACTTAATATTGACACCGAGCTGGCGAATTTAAGGGATTTAAACAGGATCTTTTTATCAATATACCACAAATTTTAATAAGTTCACATAAATTATCGCGTTTCATAATCCCTGCGAAGACAGAGGACGCACAAAACAATTTATTTAACGTAAAAAGAGCAAAATTTGCAGGAACCTTACACAAAATCGAACAAGAACGCAGATCGAAGGAATCGGATGTCACCTGAAGGGTCCTGGTAGCAAATTCGACCCCAATCGTCGACTTGGACTCCAGACAAAACTCATTCCTCGTGAACCTCGACAGGATGTTTGATTTCCCGACCCCCGAATCGCCGATCAGCACGATCTTGAACAGGTAATCGTACTCGTGATCCACTCTGTGAGCCATAATACCTCCGATCTATAAAAACCAGAACAAAAGGAGAAAATATAAAAGATCAATAACAAAGAGAGATCGACGACTGAAGATCAAATCGAAGGAAGAAACGTTACCCGATGTTAGATCTGATCGAAGGAGCGCGCTAGAGGAAGCTGAGGACTCGATGAATTTGAACAGAATTTTTGGGGAGAAATTGAGATCGAAACAGAAAAGCGAAAGAAGAGGGGGCATCATTTTTAAGCGGCAGTTGGGGAGATTTTATACAATCATTATATTGCAGAACAAGTCCATGGATTAAGATTACAATTTACAGAAAGCTGTGAGGTTGTTTCTGTTAATAGTCATTTTTTTGGGGCGGATAGCGCGCACGGCTAACAGCAGACAACAGCTAAGCACGTGCGATTAACATGTATCTTGTGCGGACTCTCTACGGCCCATTGTTGAAAATGGGCCAGGTAGGAGTGTAACTATTTAGCAAAGGCCCACGTGCTCTAAAAGGGGGAAATGAAATCCCTAATTTTGTGTGGGATTTGGGAAATTTCCGAGGAGCGAGAAAAATGAAGAAGGAAGAAACGGTGAAGCTAATAAGCGCGGAGGGGTTCGAGTTCGTCGTCAGCAAGGAAGCGGCCATGGTCTCTCAGACTATCCGCAACATGCTCACCTCTCCAGGTACCGATCGCCGTCTTCGGTTCAGAAACCTAGGGTTAGGGTTAGGGTTTCGATATCTGGAATTGATCTGATAAAAATTGATTTTTTTTTTCTTTCAAGGGGGGTTTGCGGAGGCGCAGCACGGAGAGGTGACGTTTCCTGAGATAACGGCGCCGATTTTGGAGAAGATTTGTCAGTATTTCTATTGGTCCTTGCAATTCGCCAGGTTGTTCTTCCCCTCTTTGAATTGGGATTTTATGATTTAGCTGAGAAAGTGTTTTCCTTGATTGGGGTTTGATACATCTTGCTTTTATGATATTTCTCATGATTTGTTTGGTTAAAATAGATTCTATCTTGTATCCAAAGCAACTATGAAGTTAGTGTGACTATAGTTTAGAAAACTGCCGTCGTCGGATCCCAAACAGCTTTTTGCAAGACTATAGCTGCAACTTAAATGCAAGGTTGGGCGAATCCAAAGCTAACAGGTATACAATGTTAAAACAAAACTTCCGCACGTTGTGCATGAATGACCACATGCGTTCACGTATACGAGGGGTGTCCAAAGGAGTGTCGTGTGTAATGCGGGCATGGCTTCGTGGTAGAAGTGCCCATGTACCTATATGTCCTTGATCTTGACCCGGCCTCCTCCTCCTCGCGATATACATTGGCTTTCTTTTTAATGAAAAAGAGACGTCAAAGGTAATAATTGCTACCAATGAGGAAAAAACATACTGATGCCAACCTTAATCGTTACCTGGTAATTCTTTGTTCAAGCTTCGATCTTTATAAACTGAAGGTTAAGGCTTCCAAAGCTTTAACTTGTGGATCTTCCGTGTGTCCGCTGTTGAGCTTTCAATGTTTGAGATTTCTCCCAAGGAAACGATGTCTTCCTTTCTGATTACATCTAGAATCCAACCTCCAGTTGTGTTTCCTTGATAGTTGATACTGACATTAACTAGGATAAGCACTGGATTATGAATGTTATTTATCTTTCCCAACTGTGATTATATGTTGAATCGTTATATGATTTTAAAGCTGTTGTTGCTTAATGAAGCCTTTCTCTAACTCGTAACTTTTGTTTATGGCAGTGGAAAGGAGACGGAGTTTCATATTGAACCTGAATTAACTTTGGAGTTGATGATGGCTGCTAACTATCTCCACACATAGAAAGAGATTTGCATGTCCCAATTGCTTTAGGCCATTCACTTATATCCTTGCTTGTATATTTTGCCTCTATATGTGTTGTGTACTTATGATCAAGCGATTAGTCAATTGTTCTTTGTAGAACGATGTCATTTATCAGGGTGACCTAGCAAGGTCTATTGATTATGCCTGTGCGCAGTTTGACGGCTTTGTAACTTGTATTTGCGCCATGTTCCTTGTCTGCTTCTATTAGTTTGATTTGTTTACTGTGATGTCAATGTTAATGCGTCATGCAGGCATTTGAACTTCGGCTTGATGGAAATGAATACTAACATGTGATTGTGATGAGTGTTCAAATAATGTTATTAAGCAGGATAGATTTTTGTCGTTACCTTTAAGAGAATGAGAGAATGCAGATTGTTGTGCTGAAAAGTTATGATTTCATATTTGTGAGTAAATATATGGATATCAGCAATTGATAGGTATTTTTACCCAGTAGTCCTTGTCTTTAGTTTTCATGTTATTATTAATAATGAAGTTACAAATATTTGCAAAATAGCAATATGAGTTTGTAGTTGTTACTCTCCTCTGTGGGTAGTACGATAAGATTACATATGGACATTTTATTTGATGAAGTATCATGAGATACTTTGCTTCAGACCACGTTGTACGACTGCTGTTCATACAGAATGTCTACTGCTAAAGAATGGAAGAAAGAAAATTACACTTTTTCCATGGTAGAAATGATAGAATGCTCCCATCATTACTTATAGATTTTTGTAGTTTTTCTGTTTGATTGGTTTGCATTTTTTTTTTATGTATCATCTCCATGAAGGTAAGAAGTCAAATTGCTTCAAAACTTGCCCTCATACTTATGTCAATTCTATCCATGCTTGTCATTTCATAATTATACAGAAGTAGTGATCTCTGGATCTTGGTTCTGGATGGTTAATGGTTGATCATAGGGTTTTAAAGTCCAATACTAATTAAGCATTGTATTATATTGCAATTTCTCCTTTTTCTAATTATGAGTGCAATTGTGAAATTGAGAATTGAAGAAAATGTTATTTATACAAGAAAACTAAGACAAGTTCGGCAATCCGGGTTGCTATATACCTATCCCTGAGGGTTGACGTGTGTTAGTTGAAAATGACTTCACTTTCATGCTTTTCACTCAACTTTCAATGTCGAACATATATGTCAAATAAACTGCAATGTCCTAAATGGAATAAAGAATAAGCTACAGAAAAAAATTGGAAAAAAAACGCAAGTTCTTAGTACTATTATGTTTGGGGTAACTATGTGGGTATTATTTACATCGGCAGTTACTTGCAAATTTAGCTGCATGCGGTGAGCTCACTTGACATCTAAATGCTAAAAGTTCTCATCTCAAGCCTAAGTCTGTTGAAACATTCAATGGGTCTTACAAATATGCAATTCTTATTGAAATTTAGGACGAAATTAGTTGAATATTCATTCATCAATGACTGCTAGCATCTTGACGTGTGTCCCTCTTGTCATTGTCTAGTTTTGACACTTTTGTTGATGTCCCTGAATCCTGATAGTGCCTTGCTCAATGAACAACAAGTTTCTGAACTTTCAACTCTAAAAGTTTTGACAATAATAGGGGACATATCGTGACACGTATTTCGCTTTTATTTGCATAGAAATAAGTCTCTTTGTTGTTACCCTTTATGGCTTTGCATTGCCAGAGGGGATGCTTCTATTAAAACATATGCTGGAGCAAAACTTTTGATTATAGCTGTGATAAGCTAATATATTGATCTTGACATCATGGGATGTATAGTATAGCCTATAGCCTGAAGAACTTTGAGATTTTTTATCTGTTCGATTTAACATTGTCGATATATGTAAGTTTTACCTTTTCTATTTGTGAATGAATGGATGTCATGAAAAGTTAGGATTTTGTTGGTATTTGTCACACGCTTCTTGAACCTGGGATTCTTGAGGAATCCTTTCTGTTCTCCAGTTGTGCGTGAAAAGAAAGAAGTAAAATGACTATGTTTTTGAGTTACTTCTTTTTATTAGTTTGTGAATGAATGAACGTTGTAAAAAAAAAATCTTTTACAATATTGCTATAGAAGCAAAGATGATCTTGTTTATGTTCTCTCGACGCTTTTCTGTGATTTTTGCCCCCCTTGTAGAGGCTTTTCTTTATCTCGATTAGATTGAAAATGAAATGACTTTGGAAGTGACGATGCAAGCAGCCTACCTCTATCATTGAAGCCGTTTATATCTTGTTGCCTAATTTGAATTCACTTTTAACGCTATTTTATAATTTGCATGTATAAAAAGATCACATCAAGTACTGTTAACCTGAACAATTAAATAGTCTCATGTAAATATCATCCATCTATGCCATGGCTTTTATCTTCCATTATGCTCTCTGGTTTTCAATCGTCATTTTCATTTTTACACTTTCTTAGTCTTAGAGATTTTTACAGGTTTTTCCTTGGTCTCACATGCTTAAACTGCATAATTTTCTCATTCAGGTCTTGCTGTTGGGAGGTTAATAATTGTCACTGAGGTTTCCAATCAAATGAATATGTAGTTTCTATGACTTCTATGCTGTATTCTTTGGATTGTATGCTCACAATTTAGGCCTACATCTCATTCTCAATTCTGCTAGATTTATTTGATAGAGGTTGCTATCAGAGATGAGCTGGCCAGAATATATTAAGCTTTGAGAATCATATTAGGACAGATTTCTATTGACAAAGACAAGTCTCCTGCTGAGTTAAATGAAATGTGTGTTTCTTCATTTTTTTTGGGGGATACAAATTAAGAAATAGACCTTTCTCTAAACACTTGTTTGATGTTTTGTGGTTGAGGGCAAGTAGATGATCAATAGTCTTTTTGTTTCTTATGGTAAAGCTGATATTTTGACTATCTTGATTGGAAACCATTAGAGCACTAAATGAAAGACAGCCAGGCCACGTTGGTTGTAGAGAGATTATTTTAGCATACCTGTCTTATTTTGAACTCCTTGTATGTCATTTCTCGGATTGCCTTCACACCTTTATGTGTTTGTTCCTTGTAATATTCTTTCAATGAATTTCTAAATGAAATGTACATAACTGAGGAAATGTTTAATATTTTAGGCCTTTATAAACACTCACACTCTTGCTTCTCTCTATCTCATACACACACGTGCACACTCTCTCATACGCTCATGTTCTGTCAAGCTTTCTATCTACGTTTGTTATGTTTTCTTATCTTTCATGCGACACTTCTTATGTCTGTACCTTATGGCTCTGTCGGTGCATTGAGGATTGATAGAAAGGTAAATTTTAATCTAAAGCTCACAGACCGCATAGAGAATTCTTACTATTTGATATTAATATGGTTACTGAAGCAACTTTTTCTATATATCTATTAGGTCCATATAGTGTACATGGGAGATCTGACAGTTAACCATCGCATACATCACAGAGTCTTGCTTGATCAAGAACTTGGCAGGTTTCTCTTTCTAACATTTTGCATAAATGTTACCTACAACTCATCTGATACTATTGATAAATGATATACAGCGGTGCATCAGAGCTCTTGGTTAGAAGTTACACAAAGAGCTTCAATGGCTTTGCCGCAAATCTTTCTGATGAAGAAGCTAAGAAGATTGCCAGTAAGTTAGCTTGTTTGAATTCTGAAATGAAACAAAAAGAGGTCTTCTTGATGAATAATGTTAATCTCAGACAGGGATGAGGTTGTATCAGTGTTCCCCAGCAAGCAGAGAGAGCTCCACACTACAAGATCATGGAGCTTCATAGGCTTCCCTATAAATGCATCCAAGCTAGCATTTGAGAGCCATGTCATCATAGGCATGCTCGACACAGGGATCTGGCCTGAATCCGATAGTTTCAGCGATGAAGGCTTTGATCCACCTCCTAGCAAATGGAAGGGAACCTGTCATTCCTCAAATTTCACCTGCAACAGAAAAATCATCGGAGCAAAATACTATTTATCCGAAAGAAATGTAAGCAAAGGAGAAATAGCATCACCTCGAGATTCTAATGGCCATGGATCACACACTTCATCAATTGCTGCGGGACGACAAGTTAGAGGAGCAAGCTTGTATGGTCTTGCTAAAGGAATCGCTCGAGGAGGAGTTCCTTCAGCAAGAATAGCTGTTTACAAGATTTGCTGGTCAGATGGATGCTCTGATGCAGATATCCTAGCTGCATTTGATGACGCAATCCATGATGGTGTGGATATAATCTCTATCTCTGCCGGGGGACCTTTTAGATCTGACTACTTTGATGACTCTATCGCTATTGGTTCTTTCCATGCTATGAAGAATGGAATTCTGACTTCGAATTCTGGTGGAAATACGGGACCAAGTTCATCGACTGTTCAGAATTATTCGCCATGGTCGCTTACAGTGGCTGCTAGCACCATTGACAGGCAATTTGTTGCAGAAGTGAAGCTCAGGAATGGAAATTCTTACAATGTAAGTTCTCATCATGTTGTTGAATAAGTAGAAATTGCGGCTATTTCTGTTTAATTTTACTTTGCAGGGGACAACAGTAAACACTTTTGACTTGAAGGATACAATGCATCCTCTAGTCTATGCAGGAGATGCACCGAATACTTCTGCAGGATATGATGGATCCTCCTCCAGGTGAAATTCATGCATCTTCTCCCCCTTCCTCTTCTTTTACATTTTGTTTCTATTTTCTCTTGTTAATAAATTCCCATCAGGACCCCTTACTAAAAAGGGTTAATTGATACTAGTAATTTTTGTTGTCATATTTCAGACATTGTTACTATGGATCCTTGGATGAGAAAATCGTGAAGGGGAAGATTGTGCTTTGCGATTCAAGGACTGAAGGCGGGGGTCTGATTCTTGCCGGTGCTATTGGTGCAGTCATGCAAGCAGATTCATATACAGATTATGCTCTCTCATACCCGTTGCCTGCCACAGTAATAGGACCTCTTGATCGTGGAAACATCTTGCAATACATTAACATGACAAGGTATTGAAAATTTGCCTCTTCGTGTTCATATTGATTTAGGTACAACTTATGGCCTAAATAAGTTTCATTTGTTTATTCATAGCGTTCCAGGAGCTAATATTTTGAAAAGCCAAGGACTCGATGATACAAGAGCTCCGTTCATCGTCTCATTCTCTTCTCGAGGGCCTAATCCTATTACAGCTGACATTCTCAAAGTAATAGTAACATGTGTTTTCTCAATTGATATATACAATTGATGTGTGTGCGCATGCGCATGTGTGTATGTGTTTCAAGAATTTAACTACACGGTTCAACGTATTGCGTGTGTACAGCCTGATTTGTGTGCACCCGGGGTTGACATTCTGGCTGCATGGTCGCCAATAGGATCGATGTCGGTGTATCCTGATGACAAGCGATCTGTATCCTACAACTTGCTTTCAGGTACTTCCATGGCTTGCCCTCATGCAACAGGCGCGGCTGCCTACGTCAAATCATTCCATCCAACATGGTCTCCTGCAGCCATCAAGTCCGCTCTCATGACAAGTGGTAAGTCTGACATGTATCGCTACTGGAAACATGACATTTGCAGACTGCAAAATTCCGTCTGTGATGGCCAGATATACATTGGCATTGCAATTTGCAGACAATTTTTCGAAACCCCTCTACAATGCCTTTTGAGTTGGGATGTCTTGAATTCTATGCCATCTATTATTTTATTTCCAACCTGTTTTCAATTTCTGACTAGTAAGTCTACAAAATTTTCGATCTGACCTATATAAAAACTTTGGTTAGGGGGTACCTTGGGAATTCTGTTTTGGGGAAATAATCTTACCATCATTGCAATTTCTATGCATTCCGTATGCAACGAGGGTAAGGAGATTAGTATTACAGAGAATTCTCCTGTTGGTGACCATTTCTTATCTTTTCTAATAAGAAAAATTATTTGCTCCAGGACTTTTCCGAATCTCATTAATTATGTGTGTTTGAGATTGTCTTATTCTGTGGTCTTGTGCTGTGTTTTTCTACAACAATTTGCAATGGTTCGACCTTGAACACATTATTGCAGGCAGATTTTATGTCAGTGAAGAACTTTTCTCTGCATTGCTGCGTTGACGGCTTAATATATGCGCTGCTGAAATCATTGATGGTCCATTTTTTTTAAACTAGAAATACAATCTTAGATCTTCACAATGTTCTTACTGACGTATAGCGCATGCATATATTTTTTGGTTCCATTGCAGCTTATCCGATGGAAGCAACCAAAAACCCTGAAGCACAACTCGCATATGGTGCTGGCCAAGTAAACCCGATAGCAGCCATAAACCCTGGATTGGTTTATGACACAAGCGAAGCGGATTATGTTAGATTTTTATGTGGGCAAGGATACAGCTCGAAGGATCTTCGGCTTGTCACTGGAGACAACGGCACCTGTTCTGTCACTAATAACGGGACCGTCTGGGATCTGAACTATCCCTCTTTCGCTCTCTCCGTCAAGAGTGGGAAAGCTTTCTCTGCTATCTTCAAGAGAACTGTCACTAATGTTGGACACAAATCTTCTACATATACCGCTGTGGTGAGTACTCAGTCGGGTATAAAGATAACTGTTGAGCCCAGTATACTTCATTTTAAGTTCTCGACGGAGAAAAAATCTTTTGAGGTGAGAATCCAAGGAGCGATTGCAAAGTTTCTGAGCTCAGGTTCAATAGCGTGGTCTGATGGTGAAAATTATGTTCGCAGTCCAGTTGTTGTGTATACTTCCTCCTGATGATGAATCTATATTTGTGTGTCAGTGATTTAATGAAGAATTAATTTGCGAGTTTTTTTTCTTCTTCTTCATGAGGTTTAGAATTTTTTGTATACTGTGTTTTGCAAACACATGGATCAAAAGGAAACATTCGAGACGGGTGTTTTGAGGAATCTTCTGGTTGTAATAATATACTGCCTTTCAAAGTATTGTACCATAGCATCTCAAACTCATAAGAAAGTCACAGAATAATTACAGGACTAATCATTCATCTGGATCTTTGAATTGGTACATCTATATAAAGAGAAACTTAAGGAAAAATCACAAAATTTTCCAGGGTCTACAATCAAGATTTCTGCACTTGGATTCCCATGAGCTCCTGCATTCTCCTCCGTTTTCTCGGTCGTCGCAGCAGCGGCAGTTCATACCAAGAGATTGCAACACCATCACGTACCCTGAAACAACCACCAATTCATTCATAATCATAAACTAATTAAACTCAAAACACCAAAAAAAAAAAAGAAGAAGAACGATTAACAGAGCTCTTTATTACTTACTTTCTTCATTAATAATAGGAAATGGCCTTGCTTCTGAGCTTGGAAAAATATGAGCGTGGAAGGAAACCAAGAGCAAAAGAACCAAGGAAGCTCCCTTAGAATCCATGGCTCTCTCTATGGGCTCTCTCTGAGGAATTATTTCTTGAAGAATTATGTTATAGTCATTGTGCTCATGATTTGTTTAATGATGGGTCATTTTGTCGCGTTGCTTTGAATTATTAGTGGTATTACCATCAACATTGTCATTAATTTATTACTTTTCCCTCAGTTTCTAGAAAGATTTTTATTAGGAAACGTGTTGAGATTTCTCTTCGTCCTTAAGTTAATGCATGGGCCTATATTTTTTTATTATTATGGAGGATTGAAGAGAAGTTTCCTCTATTTTGTCCAAGCTATTCAAAGACTCTTTTTCTCCCTTTCTTCTTATTTTGTCTTTTTCAGTGAGAACACAAATACAAGTTGCATACTTTGGTGATTGCATAGTAGGTGCATTGAATCTCACATTCCCAAGTGTTTTTTGACCTACTACGTCATCGTTATCTATTTGTTTAGGGGTTCAGTGAGAAAAGTTAAGGGTGAGTAAATAATATTTTGAAAGTTGAGGGGGGTTATCTACAATAACTCCATAATTGAGATGGGTTCTAGAGTTAAAAAATAGTTGGGGAGGGGGTCTAAGATACATTCCATTTTTTTTGGGTGTGGTGTGGGGGTGTAGGGGTTAAATTAACGAGAAATGATAGAGGCACACCCTCGGGCACACCGCCGGCATACCCCCATCCCCCTATCTACAGTACCAGGGGCCCCACTTGAGATTTCCCCCTCTATCTACAGTGCAGGGGGCCCCACTTGAGATTTTTTTAAAAATCTCAAGTGCCCCCCTCTCCGGCACTATAGCTAGGGGGTGTGGTCGGAGGTGTGCCTGTAACGCCTCGATCCCTAAATTAACCTTAAAACATTCACGTATGCTATTATGATTGTGGTTTATTTTAAGGGTGTTTTGCTTATAAACCTAAAGTCTTACTCCCACTTACTATAAAACCTATACCTAGTTCTATATGTTCCAACAAACCCAACTTAATAGAATTTAAAGTTTATAGCTGACTCCAACGGGATACATAGCTATATACTATAGTGTATATAGCTAAATACTACTGCTACAAGGTGTATTATTACATTCTACAAGGTATTTTTGTATACCCATTGTTTGCTGTTATACACCATCTATTCTCTTTGGGTTTCAAGGTAAATAAATTTTGTATATTGGATTAATTGGAACATATATATGACTTGGTGAACTTTTTACCGGATGAGAGTAAAAACTTTATTTTTATGAGCAAAAAACCCCTTATTTTAAATATAAGGATTACTATATTTTATGATAACTTTATTTATTTATTTTTCTTAAAATGAATCATAGTCGTATATAGCTATAGTAAATATGGGTTATTTTTTTAACAAATCATAGTAATATATAACTATGATAACACAGATTGATGTATCTATTTATATTCTTGACCAATGTTGTTTTAGTATAACTAGTAAAATGCATGTGTGTTGCACGTGGGCATTCTTGTTTAATGTTGAAAATTTTAAACATGGACCATAAAATGATGAAGTGAATCGATGGAGACTCTCAATTCATGTGCTTAAGTTGGTTTAAATTTGATCAATATTTATAGAACCTAAATAAAGGATGTAATTAGAGATTTGTACGCTATGTCTCTTAAGTAATTAGATTGGCCAACAAGCTAGAAGGACCTGAATGTGTAAGGTAATGGTACAAAGAAAGGAGCCAATTCATATCATGTTCTAATTTTAATTACCTCATCAAAATCTATGTTAATCATTAGCATTTGAAGTTAAAACAAACCATACAGATATAGAGGGCCGAATTTGCTAAATAGTTTATATCCAACGTGGATTAATAACGTAAAAAAAATTATAATCCTATGCGTGAACAAACTTCTTCTGTAAACACAATATCAACATTAAAAGATGCTTTAATATTAGAGATAGGAGATACATCTTTGCTCAATTTACACAAAGGTTCAAGCTATTTAAAGAAATTAAATGCTAATTTATAGAGCTTTCCCAAATAAATTTCTTAAACTTGAAGCTGAAATTGACATGATTGGATGATGGAGGTATATCTTGAAAGTAGAGATTTGTCACTTATTGAAGTTCCGTGACAATCACAAGAGAGACTGATTATGTTATTCATATGCCTTTCATCAATCTCTAATTCACAGCTTGGCACTAAATTGATAGCATTTCTATGAAAATCTATACGATCTTTAACATCATCCTAAGAACTTCATTTCTCAAAAATAGAAGTTGGATGGTTGGAAGGAGAGAAAGAGAGAGAAATAAATGAAAAATAGATATCACATATAAAAATGAGTTATTACTTAGAAGGTAAAAGTCAAATCTTAAGAAGATATCACTTTAGCAATCAAGGTTTATTATAATAAAATGTTATATTTATTTTGGATGTATGTAAATATGATGCTTGTTGTAGTATTTATTTAACTTTATTTGTCTGAAATCATGGTAAGTAAGTTTATTTTGTATTTCTAAGAGTAATATCAAAAGGGTAAAGTTTATTTTGTATTTCTAAGAGTAATATCAAAAGGGTAATACAATTAGCATGATGCATTCCTAATCATGTCCATACTTCATGATATTAGCATCATAAATATCTTTAGTATAATGTATTTTCAAATTACGCCGTGAAATGTGTTTAGGGGGTGAATTTTAAAAGTATTTAATCTAATGAGATTTTAAGATACATTTGTTTGTTTTAGTCTTTTTATAATAGATTTTTATATTCGCCTGATACCAATGTCTCTAAAAAGAAAACTATTCATCAAATTGACTGTAGCAATTTAAATCATACGAAATTGACTCATTTCTATAACAAGCAAGTTTCGAAACACACTTTCAAAATTCTAATTGAATTATAGAGGAAAATATCAAGCTAACACGTGTTTGAGCAAATTTGATCCTCGAAAGAAGTCGGCATCTTGTGCTCTGCTAAAATTTTCATTCTAATCTAAGTGGAGTTTTGGTTGAGCTTTTCTTTTGTAATTGTATGAATTTGGGTTAATAGATGTTATAGTGAGTGGAAGACAATGTATGAGCCAATTTATACTCAAGAGATGAGGTAGAAGTTATATAAAGGGAAATGAAAAAGGTTATTTGTTAGTTAATTGGGTTTATAGTTTATCCATTGATTCAAATTGAATTTTAAAAGTCTTTAACTCTACATTTATATTCTTGAGCTGAAATTTTAGACTCATTAGCAGCTTGTGCTCAAAAGGCCCAAACCGATAAAGAATGAGGTGTCATTCTCTAATTTTACCTTAGGTGGTTCCTACAAAACTCTAGTTCTCCCCTGGCTTAAACTTTAATGTCTCTTCAATGTAGTTGTTTCAACTTTTTAGAGAGGAGCAAGTCGTAAAGCCTCCCGACACGCAATTAAGGTAGCCCAAAATTAAACATTGACACTCTAAAATTCTAAATGTAAATATAAGCATTTGTATGAAGTATTAGATCATAAACTATTGATAGTAATTATATTCTTGACCAAATATTTTGGGGATATTAGAAGGTGCATTGATAAAGAGTTGTTGATATCAGTTATCAAACAATGAGTTATTTGAGAGTTTGTGGAGTGGTTAGGGTCCTCTAACTCCTTTTGATGAGTGGTTTTGGGGCTCCCTGTTCTTTCCTACACATGAAGGAACTCATAAGAGGGTGGAGTTGAGTTCTCCAGTTGTTCCTCCGACGATCAAGTCAGTAGGTGATCTTGAGTGGGAAAATATGAGTGGGAAAGTATGAGTGGGAAAGTATGGAGTTAGTTCTTAGTTTTGTCAAAAAGGCTAGAGACCGTTACCCCATGAAGTGTTGCTCCTTTTATAGTGGGTTTGAGCGCCAAGAAGGTAACTTGGGCCGAGTCCAGCTAGGCAGCTGAGTCGGCAGACGTGTGCTAGGTGTCAATTGTTGAAGGAGGTGAGACACCTGGTCATTTATTGTGGGAATGACAATAGACGCTTAGTGCTGACTGGGTCTGCTGAGTCATAAAGACTATATGGGCTAGAGTAATGATAATGTTGTCAGGTCAGTTAATGCGATAGTAGTCAGGTGGCAAAGGGTTTGAGATAACCGGCCTTCGACTCGTCAGGTCCAGGGCTGAGAAGTACCGCCTTTTGACTCGGTTACGTGAGATGTTAGCTGAACAGTGGGCTGAATCGGATCGCTTGTGGAGTCAATTGAGGGGTTGACCGAGTAGTACCACCTTTTGACTCAGTATACTAGTTGTCAGCCAATCAAGTCAAGCGTGTTGAGGAGGGGTTATCTTGGTCTTGAATCAGTTTGGTTAGGTACAGTGTAAGACACATCTTGACTTCTCTATGTGGATTAATATTTAGTAATTTAGACGTTATAACAAGAGTTATGGATAATAATTTAAGAATTACTTATTAAAAAATGGTATAAT